GTATGTATAATAAAGAATACTTAATGTCTTAAGCATAGTTCTATACTACTATATAATTTCATAAACACTGCTTTACAGGAAAATGATACATGGCATACAAAATAATCCATTTATATTTGTTTTTATTATTTAGAGTGTTATTGGATTGTTCTTTTTTAAAATAATAACAACAATAAAGATAGTATTGACTGTCTTTTAACAGATATCTACAATAGATCAAACATTTTATACATATTATTTCTGAATTTCATCAAACCTTGCAAGGTAAGTATTTCTAGCTTCTTCGTATAAATAAGGAAATGTATACTCAGAGGTTAAGTAACTTGCTCAAGATCATAGTTCATTAATGACCAAATAGCACTGAATTAGATAGAACTGCGTGTGTCAAAGCAGGCCCTTTTCACTACAATATGTTACCTTTCTACTGCAATGAGTATCTGTATGTTTTTACTATATCTTTGATGGTTATCATAAATTTCCAAAAGTGGAATTGTTGATGTAAAGGAGATGAACTTTTTAAAGTGTTTAGTACATAAACCAGGTTGTTTAACATGAGGCTGATATCACTATTCAGTGATACCATTCCCAAATTTTTTGCAGAAGGAAATTAATTTGAGATAGAAAAAAGGGGTGTCAAGTTCATGAGAGACGGGGAAATCTGTGTGGTGTAAATAAAGCTGAGAGCAACTATTTTCTGTAACATAGGTTTCTACTTTGAAAATCTGATGGTAAAAAAAATATTCTCTATTTCTGGATCTGAATAGGTTCACATAAAATTCTTAGGAATTATGAATATGTACATGACCAAGCATATGGCAAATACTTCATGAAGATTCTGCCATAAAGAATTGACATGGATTTCTTGCTTCTGACGGGGATCTGAAGTCTGGAAAACATGCCCATCCTAACCTAATGACATGAAAAAGCTGGGTAATTTTAAAAATTACAACTTTTCTTCAATCCAGAGAGAAATCTTGAGGCAACCAAAGTAGCCTAAGTCTGAAGAAAGACAAGTGCCTGCAAGGAGAGATGGGACATGAGCACTGGCTCACCTGTGGCTACAAGTAGATGACAGGATCACCACAGAAGCAGGTATAAAAAAGTTCAATTATTCTTTCATGAATTGCTAACGACCAAGTGTGGGCTTGCATGAGAGTACAGAATCCTTAGGAGCCACAAACACAAGAGAAATTTACACACACACACACACACACACACACACACACACACACACAAACACACACAGGCTTTTCTGCATGGATTTAGGGTACAGACCTAGTAAAGAAAAGTCACCACATGGGAAAGTTAAGTCACCATTTTTAGTTTAGTCAGTTTCTCTCTTTGTAAGGAATAAAAATCTTAAGCTCTAAGGAAAAGACAACAAACCCTATTTCTTTCAGGGTACAGAAGATCTACTGCAAATGGGGAAAGTTAAAAACATAATGTCTTTTACTTTGGGAGGAAGGCAATAATTAGTTCTGAGCCAAAATGATTAGAAGTGTGTCCTACCCCTAAGAGAGGGTCAGGATAACTAAGAAAGCCCCATTCCCATGACGCAGGGTCACAAGATCTGTAAGAAAGGTTAATTCTGGAAAGCAGAGAATTCCTCTCTGCTTCACACCACCAGGCTAATAAGCACTTTGTAAGAAGCAATGACAGTATACTACTAGGAGAGGGCAAGAGCACGGAGAGAGAATCTCTCTGAGGCCCACATGAACAGAAACGTCTGAAGTTGAGGGTAGAGTGTGAATATTGAGAAAAACCTTCCATAAAACTAACTCCCATACTAAGTACAAGGTAACAGAGTAATCTGAAACTGGTAGTAAACTGAGGGTAACCACAGCAATGGCATAACCCAAGTGTAGTTTATTTCCTTTTGGATTGATTCAACCTCAACATTAACAATTTAGCTGAACAAGTGTGCACACTTCAAGGCACAAATACTATTTACTCCAATCTACACTCATCTATTTACTATGTCTAACATTTAAACAGAAATTTTAAGATGCATAAAAGGGGGGAGAGTTCATTCTCAAGAGACAAAGCAATCAACATAAATAGCCTCAGATATGACTTAGCTGTTGAAACCATCAGTCACAGAACTTAACAAAATGATGATTGATACAAGGAAACCTTTGGTGAAAAATATGGAAAACATGCATGAACAAATAGGGGACTTCAGCAAAGATGTTAACTATAAAAATGTCAACTAGAAGTGCTAACAATGAAAAGAAAGTGATAGAACTGAAGAATGCCTTTGGTAGTCTTCGTAGATTTAAAAGAGCTGAGAAAGGAATCAGTGAAAGTGAAGACAAGGAAAAAAGTGATCCAAACAGAAACAAAAGAAAAAAGAGAATGAAAATACCTATAGCACACTCAATCTGAGCAACTAAGAATTGTGGGTAATATTGAATGTTCTTTCACATATAAAATTGGATTTAAAAAGGAAGAAAGAGAACAGGGCAAAATAAATATCTGAAGAGATAAAGGCCAAACATTTCCACAAAATAATGAAATATTTCAAGTCACATATATAAGAATCTCAGAGAATACCAAAGATCTCTAACTCTTATCTTTGATAAATACCCCATCAAAACACACATGCACACAAACAATAATTTTCTATACATTTCAAATTTAAATTTCTGAAAAACAAAGAGAGAGAAAAGTCTTAAAGACTGTTTCTGCTAGAGAAAAAATACAAAGAAGCAGATAAGAATTATAGCAGACTTCAGAAACTATGTAATCCAGATGACAATGGAGTGACATTTTTATAGTGCTGAAAAAATAAATGTCAAACCGGAATCCTATACTCAATGTAAATGTCTTTCATAAATGAATGAGAAATATATACTTTCCATGCCATGTCAGAGACTTTATTACTACAAGCCCTGAGCTATAATAAATGTTACAGGGAATTCTTCAGGTGTAACTTTTTCATACCCGATAAAAACTTGGACCTACATAAAGAAATGAAAATTTCAGAAATAGCTAAACTAAAAATTAATATAAAATAATTATTTACTTTAATTGTTATCTACATAAAATGGTAGTGAGTATATAGGAAAAATAAATGTAGTAAATACAGGAAAAGTATAGTAGTATTGTAGGTTTATGTTACAGCAAAAGTATATGACAACTATTACCATACCACATCTGCTGGGATAGCACAATGAACTGGTTGAACAGCCCTTGAAGGTAGTCTGTCATTAACTTAAGATATATATTGAAAATAGCTATTAATAGTTGCATGGCTATGTGTGTTTGTTTAAACTAATAAAACTTCAGTGAATTTTACCAAATTTATATTATACTCAATAGGTGTTAAAACAGGAAATTCTTATGCACAACTTACCTGTTTATCCTCTTGATTTTTCTTCTAGGCATGGCATCACAGTTCTGATGAATGATGATGATAAACTATCCCCCTATGTTGTCTAATGTTACCTTTACTTCTTACCTTTTTTTGAGATTCCTTCTAACATTTGATGGAGGAGAAGGCTGTAATCCTTTGAGTCAAAATAAATATGTATACACCCACACAGGCACATACACACACCCCTCAGGAATTAAAATACGTATAAAGCAATGGAATTGTAAATGTGTCATAAGGAAGAGGAACTTCTTCCGTCTATGCATAACATGTAATTTTCTATTAATTAAGTGGCAAAACTGATCAAGATCAAACAAATGTTAAACAACCATTCAGTATGATACTCAATTAAGATAGCATAAATAATATATTTGAATCTCTATCATCTCACTGTCTCTAGATTATTTGTTCCATAAATAGCTAAGGTCAAAATGGCTTAAAAATCTTTTTTTAAATAAATACTGGCATTCTCTGTTCCTTATACTCACCAAGGTTCTTTCTGCATGTAGGACCTCTCCCCATGCTATTTGTAATGCTGAAATTCTATGACATGGTTGCTTTTGTTTAAAATCTAAGATGTGTCACCTCACTCAACCTCAGTAGATGAGTTAGAAAGGAAGCCCCTTCTGGGAAAATGCATCCCCAGAGATGTGAGTCAGAAAGTAGAGGGTGGCACCATCTGAATTAGAAAGGGATGGGAGTTCATAACCCACTTGAATCAAAGTGTGGAATATGATATGTCAAGAAATTTGTAATGTTTTGAACAACCCACAATAAAAAATTAAAAAAAAAAAAAAGAAAGAAAGGGATGGGAGATCAACACTGACACTCCAATAAAATAAAGGCTCCAGGCCCAGTTCTATGTTTTTATGTCACTAGGAATTTTCTTATGTATAATACATTACAATTGAAATTACACAGTTTTTCTTATGTGTGTGTGTGTGCTTACTTATGTGGCTCCTACAACCCCTCCACACACATACATACATATATTTCTAGATCATACGCCTAGGAAAAGCAGGAATCTTTGCTTATTTTGTCCAACACTTTATCCCTGAAGACTAACAGAGTGCCATGGAGCTTAATATGTAATCATTAAACAAATGCAGGGTTTTTCTTGTTATATTCTTCAGCAAACTTTATCACACACACACACACACATTCACACTCATGTATGCAGTATGATAGAGAATTTTATGATAACTTTTCTTTTTATAACATTCAGTTTAAAGTTGAATGTGGATAATTAGAATGGCACAGATATATAATATAAAAAGTAATATTATTTGGGTACATTTCATTTGAATTAATTCTCCTCTGCATTGGTGATTTTATTAATTTTCTGCTAATAATTTGAGAATATATGTTGCATTGTTTGGTTTAAGATAGATTCACTAATCCATCCATTTTGTGAAGTGGATCGGTTCACTATAGATTCATTAATCCATTCCTTTAGTAACAATAAACAATAAGTTTTACAGATGTAACTATGCTATCTTAATTTGATTCATCCCTCAGAGTAAAATGTCATGTTTTACATTGTTTGACTTGCAATGTAGGGTTCAACTGAAAATTATTGTTGTTATTAGAAAATGAAAAAATCAATACATAATCTAATCCCACTTACCAAGTAGATTCTTCCATAAGTACCAAGGCCAATGGTTTTATCTAGTGAGAATATTCCAGTTGGATCCTGAAAAAAAATAGTAAAAAAAGATGTCAATGTTCTTGAGAAAATTCCAATCTGCCTTATTTATTCATCTAAAATTTACATTTGAAGAACTTAAGTGTCATTTTACCAAAAGAATAGATATGTCATAATATTTTGGATAGAGTTGAATCATTTATAAAAGAGAAACAGGGGCACAAACCTTAAATATGTTTGTGATTAATTATTATAAAACTTTTAAGTACATACAAGTATGTGAAGCTGAGGAAAATTCATGATGTAATTAGAAAGGTAATCAAAATAGAAATAAATTCACTTACTTGCTGTTGAAGTAATCAGTATCCATTTTTGAGTGCTAACCAGACAGGCAGAAAGTTTAACATATAGCAAAAGGATTAGATTTTGGATCCAAAGTCTAGATGACTTATTAAGATTATAATAGCTCTATAATAATGTTTTATTAGTGCATTATAATTATACATAACATTGGGGTTCAATTTGACATAGTCATATTTGCATCGAATATAATTAGCTCCACTTCAGTCCCAAATTTGTCCTCCTCTTTTCTTCCCTCACTCCCTGGTGCTTTATAGTTATACATAAAGGTGAAATTTACTGCAGTGTATTCATATATGTACGTAGCAAAATCTTGTCAATTTCATTTCACAGTTCCTCACTTTTTCCGTCCTTCCTCCCTTCCTACTCCACTGAGATTTCTATTTTCATGGAATCCCTCCCTTGCCTCCTTATTTTGCTCTAGCTTCTGTACATGACAGAAAATATTCTACCCTTGAATTCCTGGATATTGCTTATTTCACATAGCATGATGCTATACAGTTTTATGCATTTACTGGCACATGCCATAATTTCATATTTATTTATAGCTGAGTGAAATACCAGTGTGTGTGTGTGTGTGTGCACGCATGCATGCATGTGTGATATATTTAACATCTTATTTATCCATTTATCTGTTGATAGGTACGTGGACTGGTTATATAACTTGGCTATCATGAATTATGATGCTCTAAACATTGATGTGCCTGTATCACTACAGCATGCTGATTTTAGATCTTTTTGTATATTTATTAAGGAGTGGTATAGCTGAGTCATATGGTGGTTCTGTTCCTCATCTTTTGAGGAAACTCCATATTGATTTCCAAAGTGTTTGTACTAATCTGCAGTCCTACCAACAATGTATGAGTGTACATTTCTCCCCACATTCTTACCAGCATTTATTATTATTTTTATTCTCAATGATTGCCATTTTAATTTGAGTTGAAATATCAATGAGGTTTGATTTACATTCTCTACAATAACTCATAAATAAGAAATAAATTTATTTATGAATAACAAGACCATGGCATTAAAAGAACAGCATCTAGGAAAACTAGATATTATTTGTTTTATTTTTAAATAGTAATATTTACATCAGCTGAATGCCTTTTTATAACACAAGTTGATAGTTTTGAGACTCAAGTTTAAATATAGCATCATAGGAAACAAAATATATTCATGGACAGAATCTTAAGCCTTCCATATTCATCTTAAAGCATTATTTCTTTACTTTTAAATATGGGTGTTCTTTTCTTATTTTCCACAAAACAATGCTTTTTGAAATTTTTACTTTATGAATTCTCAGACTATTTTTATAATACTTAAATGAGACATTAGTAGATGCCAACTTATACAAAAAATGATATACTTATTATACATAGAAACATGTACATAGAAACTTTGACAAGTTCTTGAAAATTCTCATTACGTATAGAAAACATATTTAATCCTGTTAGAAAACATTTTTATCACTATGACAAGCAAATTAAACAGAAAAACTATTGAATATATGCAACGTATACAAATTAAATCATAGACTTCTTAATATTGGCATGATGTTTGTGTCATCTAGCAAAACTGTCAGAGGAAAATGACACAGCTCTGAAATTGCGTCAGTCAACAAATATTCAACTAGATGGAGAGTCAGGAGATTTAAGTTTTAACCCCAGCTCTGCCATTAATTAACTATATGACCCTGGGTGAGTTATTTACTCTCTCTGGAATTCAGTTTCCATATATATAATATGAAGATGTTGTGTTAGGTGATTTCCAAGCTCTAAAATTTCTACCATTCTAAAATCCAGATGTTTTCCACTGGATTAATATGATCATTGTTAAAGCAGCAGCCTACTTTCTCAAAATCATCATCAAAATTAATATAACAATAGAGTTATGAGTATAAGCAAATAGTTCAGGAAGTATATTCCCAACGAAAATATGACATTATTCAGGAATTGAGAGGTAAAAATAGATTTTTATAATGCCCTTGATATTAAGCTTATCACTTTTGTTATAATTCATTGCAAAACTTATGGGGAAAAGTTAGGCAATAAAGAAATCACTAAATGACAAGCTTAGAGACTTTATCACTTTAGCATGTTTTCTTGAAGAATATTATTAAAGGATGTATTTTAGAAATTAGTAGTTTTGGAGAAACAGCTGCTGGTCACTTTCAGAAAATTCATACATGTTAACTGATTCATATTGGTAAACCATTCTTTGTTATAGTTAAGGCTTCCCTTTAGCTGAAAAAGATGCCATTTGTTAGAGGATTGTGGTATTGTGTACACAACTTTTTTTCTGAATCTCTGAGCACAGTTAATTTTTTTTAATGCTGTTTCTAGCCTTCAATAACATGTGCTCCTTAAACTTAGATTTGTACTTGGTGGTAATTGCTTTAAAGAGAATCCAAGGAAGTGTACTATAATAATAAAATGTCTATGGACTTATAGAGGCTTTATTTTCTCCGTATCTGTGTTGTCAGGAAACTGTCTCCTACCCACAAATAACCAAACCATCTTTATTGTATTTTGCTCACATTTAATAAAATGTTTTTTTTTAATAAAATGTCCTGTTTTTTAAAGAAGCTCAACTTAGTACCTATATATTCAAAGACTATATTGTTTTCATTCGTTTTATTTTAATTTCCTGTCTCGAAGCTACTATCTTTCAAGAATAAATGGTTGTCAAATGGAAAAAAAGAGGGAAGAACTGTGCCAATTATTAAGTTAATAATACTCAATTTCTTATACTTTCCACTTTGTCAGAGCAAGTTTATTCTGGGCTCCCAAGGAAGGAAGAATTTAAAAGGAACTCTCTTTGTGATCACTGTGAAATTATGAGGTCTACATCACAGGCATCTTCATATTACTCAAACCTTTCCACTGCTCTGCCACACTGAGATAAGAATACCAGAATAGGAAAGATATATATCTATTTATGACTTCTATATCAATTTGTAGATTATTTGGGGTTTCAGTAGACTTTGTGTTCCATTTGGGTAAACAAAATAATAAAGGAGAAATTCCAATTTGTAAAGCTTTTCAGTAAGGAAAATTACTAAAAATCATAGTTTTAAAATATTTGGGGACTATAACATTTTTCGATAAATATTTTCATGATATTTTTCCTACCTGTCTAAATTATCTTCTACAATTTAAAAGTCCTAGTCTACCTATTACCTGAAATTCAAAATTTTGGAAAATCCTGTCTGTCTTCTGAATTCAAGGGGAGAGGAAAAGGATTGAGCACCTTGATGATTAATTTAAAAAGGGTGGCGCTGCGGGGGTGGGTAACAGGAAGAAAAAGGACCACTAGAAGGCAGTGTTTACCAGTCAAGGGAGATACCATCAAAGCAGTATGACCCACAAAACCAAATATGGCAGAGACTTAAGGAGAAATAGAAATTTTAAAAATAGTCACCAAAATAAGTAAAGGCATTTTAAATTTAGGATAGAAAAGAAGAAGTATGAGGGAAAGTATTCCAGTAGTCAAGAAGCAAAAGGAAGGAGATTGTGCAGTACCTAGAATGAGATAGCAGAGACTTTTTTGTTTTAAAAATTAGGAAGAGTGATTTTATGAAAAGATGAAACCTAAAAATGATGGCAATGATAGGAAACATGTTAGAGTGACATCCAGGCATAATTCAAGGAATTTATTTCACAATTCAAGTGGAATATTTAGAACGGAAAAATCTCTTCTTATAGATCAGTGCTTCTCAAACTGTGGATTGCATAGGCTCCCTTTCTATAAGAATAATATGGAGAATTCTGTTAAAAATACAGATTATTTGAGCCTAATATTGAATTTTGAAATAAGAATTTCCTAGGATGGATCCCCAAGATCCCCAGATGATTCTTGCATACTGTTTTTGTGTATCAACATATGAAAAGCACATCTCTAGAAACTGGATAAAAAGACAGAAAATAGATTGAAGTACAATGTCAAACTAAGGTGATGCTCTATGTGTAATGGAAGATACACTGAATATTTTAATCCTTGTGGACTTTAAAGTAAAACTGCTTCCAAACAACAGGAGCTAAAGGACTTTGTAAAGTGGGAATTTTCTCATTACTGAATGTGGAAAACAGGTTTGATCTGGGTGGCAGGGAATGGGAGAGTTAGCAGTTATATTTAAATATAAACCTAATGTAATTCAAATATAGTTTTGGATCATGTACTATTTCAGATCACCTCTGCCACTATGGTCCTCAAGGCCTGTCTAATCCTGACCCCAATATAGATTAGGACTACACATGGCAGTGTCAAATACCAAGGCCACAGCCCTGAGGAATGTCATTACCATACTGGGCACAGAAGGCAGAGGGGACAATCATAGTGAAAGACATGCCAGATTTGGAGATGAAGAAATAGTTTCCAGTCCCAAGTATTGAGTGACACAGGCATACTAAGGAGGAAAAATACACACACACACACACACACACACACACACACTCCGGGTATTGCTGATGGGAAAGGTGAAAAAATACACACACACTCACATAAAGAAATGTATAAAGCCAAAAGGCTTTGCAATAATACCCTTTTCAAAAAGGAACCACAAACCGCAAACTTCTGCACTTTCTATTTTTTCTACCTATAAGAAATATTTGTTCAATAGGAGATCAGGGACAATTACAGCAACCCATCAATTACACAAGTATGATAGAATTGGCCTATTATTCACTGATATTAGTATTAACTCTCTTATGACTCGAGGGTATTATACAAAAAAAGTTTTATAATTATATAACATTAAAACTCTTAATTGTAAATATTGTGTAAATTTCTTTCCCTTTCCTGCTTTCCCACCTTCCACTTCAGCTTCATGTTTGAATTTGCAAATATTATCTATCCAATAAAAATACCAGAAACTTTCCACAAACCACTTTCTTTAAAATCTCAGTTCACACAGCAAGCCTGTTCTCTCTCAAGGTTTTTTTTTTTTCTCCTTGTGGTCATTTATCTGTCCAGCACTGCAGAGCATATAATGTATGAACCTTAAACTAGACCAATATTTAATTATATTTCTGTGTGCTGCAAGATAATTTTTGATCAATTTGACAGTCCAAGATTTGAATCTCCCCTCATTATCTGGCAGTTGCCAAACTGTTTTACTTGGTATTGACAGTGCTAATGGTCTGATCTTCACATTTGTCCTATTGAGGATAATTATTTTGAGGGATACCACCATATGCAGGTTTCTTTCCTCGCTTTACAATCTCTCCTTTGCATCAATGTGCAAAGTGCAAATTTTCACACGAATGACTTAGATAACTTTTCTTCTCTTCATTTATTTATACTTCTTTAAAGGCTCTGGAAATAAGTCAAATGTAAAAAAAAAAAAAATTCCAAATCATTGGTATATACCTTAGTCACCAAAGCAACAATAATTTCCACATAACTAAAAATTTGACATAAAGGAAATTCCTGAAGGGTGTGTTGTTCTTACACTATCTATCTTAGGGTTTGGATATGGGTGTTTGGGGAGGGAAAATATCACGCATAATTACCTCAGAGATGGGCAAAATGGCTCCTTATAAAATTTATAAATTTAAGAATTTTTAGGAGCTGAGGACTTTTTGAGATTTTCATGAGATTTATAAGATGGGGCCAACCATTGGTGCCCTAAGGTTTTGCGTCTAGTATTCCCTACATTACAAATTAACCTCAGCTTGATCCCCTCCCCACTTGTGGTCTTCCCTACTTAACCTTCAGAAAAGTCATACTCCACCAATATAAAGATTGCAGCCTTTCTGCATATCTTCTGGACTTTCACAAATTATTATGTCCCAGGCCATGACCATTTATTTATGTCCCCCCCCCCCCCATTTATTTTGTGGCAATAACATTTTCACTTCTTTTACTCATTGGATGTGGAATTCCCTACCTGATCATTTCTAGGAGTCCTTTCCCATTCCTCTCTTTAGTCATTTTTAGAAAGGAGTTTTTTTTTTTTTTTTTTCAGTTTGTCCATGTGTGGTTTTACATATCTGCCCTAGTTTGGTTGTCTTTCTCTCTCTCTTCTCCCACCATATACAGAGAATTTTGGAGAAGTGTGACATTTCATTGTGATTGAATCTTTATCTGAATATAAAAATTCTATTCAGAAAGAAAGCCACCAGTTGAGGCCTCCATATTCCAGAAATATTATGTATACATTGTAGAGAAGGAATTTCAGGTGCATGTGGGGTAGAAAAGTTACTTTAAAAAAGTTCTATGGTCTTATTTTATGAAGGTGCAACAATAATTGCAATTCTAATATTTGTAATTCTAAATGTGTGTATTGAGGTTTGTTTTTTCAATGACTGTGAACAATTTGCTAAATGTTACTCCTGTACATTGCCTCCCTCCACAGACACAACATTGTTGTGTAAAGTTATATGGCAAGGTTTAGAGAAAGCCACATTTTTTGTGGGGGTCAGGCATCTGTCATTATCATGAACACAATCTTTAAAGGCCAAATATAAATAAAATTAAGGCAAAGCAACTTTGAATAGTCTTATAACCTCAAGGTTAATATTTAGCTTTTCCCAAAGCAAGCAGGCCACTGCCCTGAACTACAGATGCCTGGGGATCATTCCAGCACGGTGCCTGCTTATTTCCCTTTCTGAGAGTCCAGGGGCCCTTTGCATTCAAGAGAGGGTGCAAGTGAAATGCCAATCTAAAAAGGGAACTTGAAAAACGGATTTGGGTGGGATCCAATATCAGCCAGAAACCAGATGCCAATGAAATAAACGACACGGCTAAAATAATAAGTCTGCTAATAACGATGGCAATAATAGCTCACCAATCAATTACAAGTGTGGAGAAAACTGGGCATTGGGCAACAGGACAACCAGCATATGAAATCCACGAGAAAAAGATAAATCTGGATAACTAGGAAGCATAATACTTCTTTTTTTTAAATGGGGATGTGCAGAATTAACTTCTTTCCCAAACGGCGTCGAGTTCTTTTCGGTCCTGCAACACTAAAATTGGGAACATTGTCCTGGCGAGAATAAAGTTTTAGAAATTGCTATTAGAAAGTGAGAAAAGTTAGACTCCAATGCGTAATTTTCAAACCCGTTGTCACCTAAAAGTAAAGGTCACTCGACGAACAGGCATCTCCTCTGGCAAAAGAAGAAAAAGACGGGTAGCCTGTAAGAGGAAGGAGTACTCTTAGGAAGTCAAGGGACTTCGCACTTTTTGGCCTTTCTTTGAGCTCCTCTGGGATAGGTACCCAAGTGCCGCTAGACAAAGCAGGGTGCCTTTTGAAAATGTACCACTGTTTAGGGACCACTGCCATCCCTTCACCCCACCGCCGCCCCTTCCCTTTGCCTTTTGGTGGAGTTTGATGCGGTCCTGGGTACTTAGGGGTGTCTATTCCTCCTGCCAGTTTCCCAGGTCCCCTTCCGCGCCTGCTGTCCCGTCGAAGTCCTGGCCAACTCCTGCTCTGGAGACTCTACTCTCTCCCTTGTGCTCAGAACTTGAAGAAATAGAGTACTTAGAGGGTGACAGGCGTCCTTCACTTACCGGCAAGTGGCCCAGATCTGTGACCTCCTTGTCCCTCCAGCCCCCCGGTCCCGCCATGGCTTCAGAGGAGCAGGAGCGGGCGACTGACTTGGGAGCGCACCGGGTGTCAGTGGAAACTGATGAGAAGTTGAAGGGAAGGGAGAGGAAAGGGGAGGGCGGGAGAAAGGAGTGGGGATTGGGGTTTGTGGAGTGGGAGACAGAGGAGTGGAAAGTGGAGGGAAAAGAGCTGGGAGTGGAGGGAAGCTGGAGTTTGAGAGGTGGGAAAGCAAGTTTGGTTAAGGCAAGAGGAGAGTTTGAGAGCGTCGGTACTGGAGAAGAAGCTAGAGGGGTGCTCCGCCGCGAGAGCGCAGTGTCTGCCCCAGCAGGGTGCGCCTCTTTCAGGGTGAGGAGGGGGGCGGTGCAAGGAGAGGGGCCCGGGAGCAGCTCGAAGGGGATTGGTGCAGCGTCACGTCGCCAGGTGGGCAGCCGCGCAGCGGGGAGGCAGGCTAGGGGGGCCACTAGCCAAGGGAGGTTCTGAAGGACTATAACGGTTTGCTAGCTGGCCTTTCTCGGCCTTCACCCCGCCCCCGCCCTCTCGCCCCCTCCCAGGTCCACTGCTGTGCCCGCCGCTCCCGCCCCCGCTGGAGAGCGTTCCACAGGAAACTTTTTCTAGGCAGCTGCCAGCCCCGGAAAACCGGTCCCGCTCCGCGCCGCTCCCAGTCTGGGCCCCACTGCTCTGCCACAGTCCAAACAGCCCGCACCTTCGTCTCCCCAAGAAACACTTGTGACTTTTCTAGTTGTCTATTTTCTCTTTCTGCTCCTTTGATTTCATTGATCCATTTATTGCAAAACCCCATCAAGTTAAAGAAGGAAATGACTTGCTACCGGATTAGGGATAAAACCTAGTCAAGCCCTTGTTTGAGCGGCCGAGTGGAGCCCTAGGGCTGCCACAGCTCGGCCTTCGAAGCCACTAGCAGAGGGCTGTACAGAATGGACAGAGACACTAGAAACTCTCCTCCAGACGGGCCACATCTCCTCTGGACCGGGGGCTAGTTGGTACTAGGCAGGTGCCGATTAAGCCAAACAGCACCTGTTCACAGGTGCTTGGGGTAAAGAGAGACTGATGGTCTCTGCAGCCCGGGCCGCCCTGGGTCCTAAATTTACAGACGCAGCGTTCTCATTTCGCGGAGAAAGTTCCTGCCTGCTTCCCAGTTTCCAGCGTTGGGGCCGGGTTTCATTCATTCGCACATTCAGTGCAAAACGTTTCCCCGCGCTCACGCTCTTCTCCTCCGCTCCCCGCCCACCCCGCAAAACCTCAGGTAGGGCTAACAGAAGGTTAAAAAGAATCGAACAAACACAATTTAGCCTTAAGTACGGCGCCCCTTGAAGCATTTTGGTCAAGGGTTTTAGTGCGTAAAACAAACCACATTCTAAGCTCTTGCGCTGCAAAGAGCACTTTAGAAAATATCCCGAAGTCGCTTACTTTTCCTGGAGCTCACAGACTGCTTCGCGCTTACCCTAACGCCTGGTCGGAACGCGACATTAGGGGTTTATTTCCTGTTTCTTTTTAAATTATTGTTTTAACCTCCTCTAAGAAGATTTATATGAATAATTCTTGCCACTGATCTCGCGCTCACCGTTTCTGACCCACTCTTCTAACTTCTGTAATTATTAACTTTAAGTATTTGTGGATTTTTTTTTTTTTCGTGTCTATTTCAATGCCTGAGTTTGACCTCTGTACATTCCTTAACCTCGGAACCTCCGTGAGCTGTGTAATGGCCACAGCCTGCCTGAGGAACCGGGTCTCGCTAAAGAAAATTCTCTGTTAACGGGTGCGGAGAAAGCCAACCACCACCTCCCCCCCAAAACCAACCTAGGTGTCCTGGATCGAATTTTATCGTTAGTTCAAATGTGATATTTACCATTATAGAAATTATATTTTCCAATAATTCATATCTTGATAACTCCACCACACACCACACAAATCTTGCCCTTTAAAACCGTTTAAGAATTTTTTGGTGATCAGTAAAGTTCTTATGGATCTGCTTTAATGTTAGTATGGAAATTAACACTTCATATATAGAAATGGGCAGGTGAGCCAGTAAATAGGAAGTTACACTTTTATATACATATCTTGTTTTTAGAAATAAAGTCACCAAATCAAGATATGAATTTAAAGGAACTCTAATCTTCACTAAAGAAAAGAAGCTTTCATAAATTTCAATTTTACAATGTGGTTTGTTGAATGTAAGGTGTGGGGAAATGCCCCTTGGTCCCCGATGGCAGACTCTTTTAGCCTGTCTAAGGGGACAAGTCCAAACCAGGTTAAAGATTCCAGGATAGATCATTGGACTTTCTAGTTGCAAGCCTCAGTGGGAGGTTAGTGGCTTCATGGCTCCATAGGGATTAGTCACATTACTGGGAGAGATCCCCCTGGGTGGGGGGAAGGGAAGCTAGTTGTTTGACCAGAATATGACAGAGAACAGACATTTTTTAAAGTTATTATTTTCAAGAAAAAAAGGAGGCATGGAAGAACATGGAAACTTTGCCTTTTAAACTGGCATTATAGGGATTTTTGTGGCTGACTTGGGAAAGGTCATCTGGGATAGCAGACCATAAGGCAAATAGATGGCCCCTAAGCATGAGGCTCAGCTTTAAGCACAACCCTGAAATAGGGCACTTTTTTTTTTACAACTTAGAACTTCTCTCCCCCTCACCCCACCGCCATCACCTCCCCTCCCCACTTCTGACATGATCTTTTTTTTTTTTTTAATTTCCTGACATCAAACTCCACAAAAATAATCCTAGTCTGTACAGGGTCCAGGAACTTGTCAGATGTGTTTTAACCAGAAATTATCTCTCTGCCAGCACTATATATCCCATATTTTTCTATCCCTTTCTCTTCCACTGAATTTTTTTTATCTTACAGCCCTGGACTCTTTGTAACTTTTGATTGTTGCTTTTTTTAATAGCTATAGTTTATTGAATTCATACTGTATTTTCCAGGCTAAGTGCTTTGCATATATTATCTCATTTAATTTCTTGAAAAATTCCAGGTTATTAATTTTTATCCTTGTTGCATAGGCAAACAAATAAAGGCTCAGAGAGATGGAGTAGTTTGCCTAAAGCTTCACAGCTAGTAATTAGAGGATTCTGGCTTCCAACTCAGGCAGTCTGACTCCAGAGCCCACTTGTCAATGAGTGTTGAAGGACCGGTACATATTTTGAGACTGTGTGAAGAGAAGCCAAATTCAAAAAAGCCTCAGGGTAAGAGAGATCAGATGACAATAGTTAGGCCCCTGAGCTATCCAGTTCCCCCTGCCCCCTTTCAGCCCTCAAGCCCTCCTAACAGAAATAACATGGACTTTATAAAAAGCAGTGGAACCTAGTCATTGCCTAAGAGTAGCCAATGACTGCCTAGCAGAGATCACTAAGTGGATCACCTCACAGGGAAAGATCATGGATTTCACAAAGTGGATCACCTCACAGGAGAAAAATCATGGATTTCAAGCTTAAGAAACTTCCAGAACAAAGAGCCCTAGCCCTTTCAATGCTTAAAAAAAATTAAAATCCATTCCTATTCCTTCCAGAGAGATTTTCTGACTGGGAACAAACCTTGAGGATTTGAAGGAGGCTGTGTTTGTGAGCAATCGTGCTTAGCAGACCTGAGATACTAAATGGCAAGGTTACAGCCAGTTAGTTCAGTTGGTAGGAGTACTGTAAACATGGTGTCAAGGGCATGGATTTGATTCTCCAGGGGGCCGGTGTGCATCATTCTACTCTTTGGTCCTTGATAGCACCTAACTTCTTGCCTCTCAGTGTGCCTTTTATTGAAAAAAAACTTCGAAGTTAGTACTTGCATTTTTATATACAAAGAACTATGTATTCATCATTTCTTACAAGTGGCTTGTCACCAGAGTGTGGAGAAATTATACTGCAAAGACATGTGTGTGTACCATGACAAATATAGATTCAAAAGTTTCCTGGTTGTTTTTTGTTTTTTCTTTTCTTCTTTTTTCCCCATTTACACATGTAAGATTGGTAATATATGTGAATAGATAATGTATTCAAAGATTGAATCCCACAGAATGCTTTATCAAAATTTTCAAGGTAATAGTCTTCCCCTTATTTCCAGGGAATATATTCCAAGATCCCCAGTGGATGCCTGATAGCAAGTATAAGTATAGTGTATATGTATGTGTGTATGTGTATATATACACATACACACACACACACACACACACATATATGCTATATGCCTACGATGGTGTTAGTTGATAAATTAGGTGTGGTAAGAGACTAACAAGAATAACTAATAACAAAAAAGATCAATAGAATAATTTTAACAATATACTGCATTGGAAATTATTTAAAACTTATGAATTGTTTATTTATTGAATTTTCCATTTAATATTTTCAGATCATGGTTCACTGTGGGTAACTGAAACTGTGGAAGCAAATCTATGGATCAAGAGAGACTACTATGCACAAAAAGTTCTGTCACTTATTGAATTTCCTCTTCTCTGAGACCTCACATGTGAAAATGAATCAATGTCTTACAAACTTCAGTTGCTACTCATTTGCTGCCTACAACACTGAGTCCTGGGTGGGAATAGTGAAATAAGATTATATAGTAATCTTCCTGAAAAGAGTATTCACATATCTGTGATTTCAAACACATCAGGTTAAATATCTGCTAACATACTTGTAAGTGGCTGTGGAAACCTATCTGAGAGAGGCCCCAAAAGTCCTAGTAGCCGGAGGAATCTTCTTTGGGAACCACTTGGCTAAAGGCCCTTCTTGACATTTTCTTTCTTATGGAGATACTTCTGCAACTGTAGGATTTCTACTATAGTTCCTAACACTCTTGCTACCACTACTTTTTGATATTTCCTATGTGCCACTCCTCTACCTAATGTTTCTCAGGCTAAAGGTCATGAAATGTGCCTTCTGACCATAGTTTGCAAAGCTTCTGTTGCTTGTCATGGAATGCTCTTAAGCTCGGCATGATTTGAGCTATGCTTGTTTCTAAAATGAGACCCTGGAAATCTGATCCTAGAAGAACACAGGTCTCATAG